GGGCTGGGGTGCTGCCCCCACCATGGTGCTGGCTGGGAACACCACCGGGGTCTGGGGGCTGGGGTGGGGAAAGGCCTCACTGCTTGCCAGAGCCCTTTGACTCCAGGCCCACACTGGCTTGGGAACCTTCTTGGAATGGCTCCCAGCCCTGGTCAGAGCAGAAACCCCCTTCCAGCAGGTAAGGAAGGACATTACATGTGAATTAATTCAGTTCTGGCCTGCATGGACCCTCGCTGCTGTGCGAGATGAGTGCTCCCACCCTCTCTTTCCTCTGAGGGAGCCTTCTGGCTCTTCTCAGCAGGGACCGAGGAGCCGTTATCTAGAACCACAACAAATACATGCCCTTGGGCTGTATTTGGCCTGTGCAGGTATGCAAGCCTGCTGGCAATAGCTTGGTTTATCTCAAGCTTGTTCTACAGCAAGCTATAAATGACCAAATCAAATCAAAGTCACCTAACAGAGACAGTCCCTTTTGTAAGTAAAAAGGCCCCTAGTTGTTCCCATCATTATCCCAGGATGCCAAACAGAGATGAGCAGTTTCTGTTCCCTTATCTTCAGCAACTTCACTGGGATTGGAATTGCCAGGAGTGGTCTTTCTGAAATGGGGACAGAGATGAAGAGATAGGAGGTGATTAAAATGGCTCCTGTGACACACAGATGCTAACTGAGGTGATAACTCTGTCTGCACTCTGATGTATCACCAGCCACCAGCCTGCTATTTTAAAATATTTTCCTGGTGGGAGGCTTACTGCAGCCGACTGGGGTGATGAGTTTTTAGGCTTGTGAGGCCATTAGTAGCCGGCAGCCTCTTAAATGTTTGCTGCAGCAGTGGTGTGGGGCCAACAGCACCTGTGGCTCCACTCTGGCTTGCAGAACTGCTGTGGGGGCCTCAGCAGAGGTTTTGAAACGCAGTGTCTTGTGTGCCTCAGGGAGCGTGGATTGGCCTCTTCACAATGGAAACCTTCACTGGACTTGTGAATGTTTCCTCACCAAGAGGAAACTGTGCTCTCCAGGCTTGGCCTGCACCCACAAGCACACTCTCAGGTCTCTGCATCTCTGGCAGTGAGCTCCACGTGTGTTTTTAAAGGGTGGTGGTGTTTTATGCTGTTCCTGGTGCATTTTCTTACCCTCTGTGCTATCTGTCACCCTGCACTTACATTAAACCTGCTCGGAAGACCAGCCTGGCTGAAGCCCAAGTCCTGTAGCTGGGGAACATGCTTTCTTTGGCTCAGGTACCCATTGGGTAGTTAACCCTGCCTTTAGCTTGACTTTGTTTAGTTTTCCACACTTAAACGCCTCCAGCTTGGCAGAGAAGATGTGCTCTTTATGACTCTGACCTTTATTCAAGACCAATGCTTGTTTAATTGCTTAAAATAAAATATAACAGTGTGCACAGGCAACATTATGGTACCATGGGGGTGGGGGGTTTGTGTTAGGACTTGTAGCCTTGGATCCCTGGTACATCTCTTCTCCCAAACCCCTACTAGAAAGCTTTGCCTCTGAGATCTCTTGGCTCTCCTGCCACGTTTGGGCAGCTCAACATGGACTGATTTCTCCTGTCTCCCTGCAAGCCCACCTCCTTGGAACCAGCAGAGGAGCCTTTCTTTGGCCTTCACCTCAAAACCTTCAGGCTGAGAAGGGGAAAATCAGTCCTAAAACCCCCCTTAAGCCGACAGAGAGACTGGCTGAGAACAAAAGTACTTAACTCTCGGGGCTTAGGGAAGCGCCAGCAGGATCAGCATTAATTGCAGCAGTGGTACCTTAGACCCCGGTGACCTGCTTAAGTGTGTGCAGGATCCGGACCTAAATCCCCAAAACTCTAAGCTGCTTGGTGAAAAGCCAAGCAGAAAGAAGGTGCCAACAGCTCTCTGAAGCAGCAGCTCTGTGGCCCCCAGCGCCAAAGTTACCCTGGAGCAGGTAAACCGCAGAGGGCCACGCTCCTTCTCCCTTTCCCCAACCCTGCCTTTCCATGAGAGGTTTTCCAAGCAGTATTCCATGCTACCTGAACCTCTAGTAAGTTTTTGCCCCAACAGGTGTGACTGACTCATCCACCTTCCTAAGCTGATCCTTTCCTGAGATAATTGAGACTTGTTACTGGGCTAGAAAGGACTGAGCACATCTTCCGTTTTGAAAGTGCCTGAGGTGGCTCTGCCTCGTGCGTGCTGGCCGCCTGTTTTTCTCCCCAGAGCCTGTCAAGAGGAGAAACGGAGGATTTTCATGTGGAAATAGTTGGAAGATTTGGGATCTAGTGGATCTGTTTGGGAATGAATGGGAAGAGCAGTGAAGTCCGAAGACAAAGGGTGTTTGAGGCTCCATGAGATGCAGTCCATACATGCATGCTAGTGCAGAGTATGTTTATGTAGTGACTAAACTGGGTCTAAATGGACCCAAACCAGTGACAGAGTGGAGGAGGAAGATGATTTAGTGAGATGAGCTGCAGCATCCCCATGTTGGGAAAACTTTTTATCATCTTGTGAGGTGGTCTTCCCCAGGCTGCAAGGCTCTGTGGCCTCATTAGCTGCAGGAGATTCTCCTGTAGCAGCGAAGGCTGAACCTTGCCCCAGAGGAGATAAAGCCCATTGACCTTTGCTGCACCGTTTGTCCCCCACTCAGCTCAGGGTGATGCTGTGAGTCAGGATGCTCTGAGCTGTATGGAGGCACAGAATCCCAGCATGGTGGGGTTGGAAGTCGCCTCTGGAGATCATCTCGTCCAACCCTCCTGCTCCTGCAAGTCACCCACAGCAGGGTGCCCAGGATCACATCCAGGAGGGTTTGGAATCTCTCCAGAGAAGGAGACTCCACAACCTCTCTGGGCAGCCTGCTCCAGGGTCTTGCCCCCTCACATCAAAGAATTTTCTCCTCCTGTTCAGGTGGAACCTCCTGGGTTCCAGTTTGTGCCCATTGCCCCTTGTCCTGTTGCTGGGCACCACTGACAAGAGTCTGGACCCAGCCCTCTTGCCCCTCTGTGTGCCCTTTAGCTGTTGCTCAGCATTGGTCAGATCCCCTCTGAGGCTTCTCTTCTCCAGGCTGAACAGCCCCAGGGCTCTCAGCCTTTCCTGGCACAGAGATGCTCCAGGTCCCTTAGAAGCTTTGTAGCTTCTGCTGGACTCTCCAGTAGCTCCTTGTCTCTCTGGAACTGGGAAGCCTAGACCTGGACCCAGAACTCCAGAGGTGGCCTCACTAGGGCAGAGCAGAGGTAGAGGAGAATCTCTCTTGACCTGCTGGCCACACTCCTCTTCATGCCACCCAGGAGACCATTGGCCTTCTTGGCCACGATGGCCCATTGCTGGCGCACGGGCAACTTGTCATCTCCCAGCACTCCCAGGTCTTTCTCTGTGGAGCTGCTCCCCAGCAGGTCACCCCTCACCTGTCCTGGTGTAGGGGGTTATTCCTCCCCAGCTGCAGGACCCATCCCTTACCCTTGTTGAACTTCATGAGGTTCCTCCCAGTCTTCAGGGCTGTTACAGCCATAGCCCCTCTGCTGGACAGGTCAAAAACCCCCAGACTGCTTCTCCTGCACTATCTACAGGCCTGCAAAACCTGGAGGTGGGACTGGGCAGAGGCTGTGGCTGAGAGAAATAACGGGTTTCTTTTTATAGCATGGTCTGCTGCCCTTGACATTAAGAGAACCTCTCCACCCGTCTTCAGGATGTCCTGCCAAGTGGGCAGAGGCGGGTGGTTTGTGGAGAGGCTGCTGGGGAGTGGGGGCCAAGCTCCTCCTGAAGCAGTGGGGTTTGTGCTTGGCAGCAAGGGAAGGGCCCTTCCCGCTGGGAAGAAGGCATCCCCTGTGATTCCCAGAGCAGCCTCTGGCTCCGATGTAGTGAGGCAGGGAAGGGAAGCACCTCTAGGGCAGCCAGCGTTGTGGGACAAGCAGAGTTTTCATACACAGGAGCCTTTCCAGGAGCTTGGAAGAGGCTCCGTGTTCGTGCCTCATGCAGTGGCCCAGGTCTGGCCACGGTGACCTGTGTGATCCCTCCCATGGGCTGTGAGCAGACGGCGCTTGGCCAGAGCTTGAGTTTAAAGCTTCTTCCTCCCGGGGCCTTTCTGCACGTAAGGCGAGCAGGGCTATTTCTACACGTTAACAGCTTGGAGGGGGTCAGCTATCTTCAGCCACAGTGGACTGAGGCTCTTTGCCCATTCTGTGATGTAAAATGCAGTGCCAGGTCATGGAGCATAAAGGAGTTGAGTGGTTTTTCCCTTGGATAATTCTCTTGGCACTATTTGGGCCTTTTCCAGCAGTTTAAAGACAAAATTTCTCTGGAGGCTTTCTCCTCATACGTGTTGGTGCACGTCCCTGCTGCGTTCTCAAGCCTGATTCTTCACCTCTTAATTTTTCCTTCAGCTCATGGTGGTCCCACGTGGAGATGGGTCCCCCGGACCCCATCCTGGGGGTGACAGAAGCTTTCAAGCGCGACACCAACTCCAAGAAGATGAACCTGGGCGTGGGGGCATACCGGGATGACAACGGGAAGCCCTACGTCCTGAGCTGCGTCCGCAAGGTGGGCCTGGTGCTGGCTGCTGGGCAGGGCCTGGTCCAGGTGTCAGGCAGCTGAGGGGGACAGGGAGGGTGAAAGTCTCCAAGAAAGGTTTGCTTGTTGGTCCTTGGAATGAGCTTTGTCTCCAAGGAGCAGGACCGTGTTCCTGGATGTCTCCCTTAGCTGCCTAATGCTTCTGGGACACAAGAGAGCTGTTCAGTAGCAGGGGATAAAAACAGGGAATGTGTGTCCTGTTCCCATCTAGGTAAATCTAACTCGTCACTGACTTGCCCAAGCCCTCCAACCCAGCTGTCCTCTGGCCTTCTAGGTGTTTCTTGAACAGGCTGACATTCCCTGGGCCAGCCTGCATGGGAGAAAAGAGCTGACATTGTCCCCTCGGTGGATTAGGCTTAGAGATTCTGCTGAGCCGTTGTTACCAGTCTCTCCATAAGCCAGTCTAAAACTCCAGGCCCAGGGAGCTAGATGTGGACCCTGCCCTTGAGGGGATTACAGAGCCTTTGAGGGCCTAACTTATTGCAACTGGCTCAAACTGGGAGCCTGGCTGGTGTGGCAGGAGCAGTCTCCTGGTGGTTTGTGAGTGCTGCCAGGGTCTGTCCCACTGCTCTGGGAGCATGGGCAGGATTCCCAGAGCTCTCCAAATGTCCCAGTTACTGCATTTTTTCCCTGAGCATGGCTCTTTGTCTGCTGTTCTTGCTTCCAGTCTCTGATCCTGTGTTAGATAAGGACTTGAACTGGTTTGTTGCTGAGTCTGAAGTAGAGATGGGTGAAGTTGGGGGGGCATAGAATTGTTCTGGTTGGAAGAGACCTTCCAGGTCCTCCAGCCCAGCCGTTAAGCCAGCACTGCCAGGTCAGTTTAAGGGCTGGGGGAGGCAACTTTTACACAGGCTGCTTTCAAAACTGGCTGGAGTCTCTGGATTACTCATTTTTTTTCAGTCTGCACTGTCTAGTTCACTAACACTCTCAGCATAACAAGGCTCTGCAGAGGGCTTGCCACCCTACCTCGTTTGGAGATGTCTCCCATGTCTAGACAGTCTGCCTCTCAGAACAGTCAAGTCTCACCTCCCTGCAGGACACGTCCTGCTTGGACAAAGCCACATGTCCTTGTGCAGCAGCAGGGACTTCTCACAGGCTGGGAGTTGTGCTCTCCTGGCTCTGCTGTACCAGTGGTGGCACCCACCAAGGGCTCTGGTGGCCCTGTGGTAGAAGCAGAGCATCAACTGAAATCTTTTCTGCTGCCCCTTGAGCCCCGACCTCTGAAGCAATCTCCTGCCAACCAACCTTTGCCCCTTTAGAGGAGTGAAGGTGAGGTGTCCTTGAGCTGCCCACTGTCCTCCCTCGCTGAGCACACGTGTGTTCTCCTTCCCAGGCGGAGGCCCTGATAGCATCCAAGAAGATGGACAAGGAGTACTTGCCCATCGCGGGGCTGGCGGATTTCACCCGGGCGGCTGCAGAGCTGGCTCTGGGAGAGAACAGCGAGCCCTTCAAGAGCGGCCGGGTGAGGAGCAGGCTGGGGAGCAGGGGGAGGGCAGTGCTCTCTGGGACACGCTTGAAACGGGGCTGGGGAGAACTGGAACCACTTGGCAGAGGACTTTTGCCTCTGAATTGCAAGCTAGTCGTGCCCAAAGCTGCTTCTAAAGGATGGGGTGAAACAGCCCTTGCTGAGGAGGGGATATGACCTTGCCAGGGCTCCCAGCTCCAGTTGAGGCTGCTGACCCAGTCAGTCCCCTCCAGCCCTGGGTCCCTGTTTGGGGGTGCATCTGCCAGCACTGACACAGGCACTGGGCTTTCCCTGTCTCACACCACAGCAGCTGAGGCTCGTGTGTTTGTTTCTTCCGTTGCAGTATGTCACTGTACAGGGTATTTCTGGGACTGGATCTCTGCGAATTGGAGCCAACTTTTTGGTGAGTCCTGGGCCAGTGAGGGAAGGAAGGGATGTATTTTGACAAGAGCTGAATTTTGGAGGTTTTCTAACAGCTTGAATCCATTCGACCTATTTGAAGACTGTCTTTCTCTTGATCAGCAACGGTTCTTCAAGAGTAGCCGTGATGTGTATCTTCCCAAACCATCCTGGGGCAATCACACCCCCATTTTCCGTGATGCTGGTCTGCAGCTTCAGGGTTACCGTTACTACGACCCCAAGACGTGCAGCCTGGACTTCTCTGGAGCCATGGATGACATCTCCGTGAGTTGCCCTTCATGCCTGGAAGCAGGGAGGTGATGTGGGGAGCTAAGTGATCTTCTTGCTTTGGCCTAAATACAGTGCCTGGGGGCACTCAGTCCAGGCTTGGAGCTTTGCAGAGCTCATGTAAGCCTAGGGCAAGAGTCTCATCTTAGTTGCTGAGGAGAACGTTCAGATGTCATTAATGATCCATTCTCTGTAACATCTTCCTTAGAAAATTCCAGAGAAGAGCATCATCCTCTTGCATGCTTGTGCTCACAACCCCACTGGGGTGGATCCCCGGCAGGAGCAGTGGAAGGAGCTGGCGGCTGTGGTGAAGGTGAGCAGCAGAGTGTCCCAGGGGTACTGTGCTTTTCCTGGGAAGACCATATATCTTGGCTTTCACGGGTGGCACCTGGCCTTCACTTTTTTTACTGTGAGGGTGACGGAGCACTGGAACAGGCTGCCCAGAGAGTTTGTGGAGTCTCCTTCACTGGAGTCATTTTTGGCACAATTTCATTGTGCCAAATGAAAGGGAGCAGCTCCACTTCTGGAGGAGCACTGGGGCAGTAGAGAGGGCCGCTGCCTCACTCCCTAGAGGGGGCTTCAGCTCCTGTGACAATCCTGTGACACTCTCCCCTCTCTGCTGGCAGAAACGAAACCTCCTCGTGTACTTCGACATGGCCTACCAGGGCTTTGCCAGCGGGGACATCAACCGGGATGCCTGGGCCGTGCGCTACTTCATCGAGCAGGGCATCAACGTCCTCTTGTCCCAGTCCTTCGCCAAGAACATGGGGCTGTACGGTGAGTAGGGCAGCTGGGGTGGAAATGGTTTCATCCAGGCTGCTGGAGGAACCCCACTGCCTTCAGGTTTTGGCAACCCGTGTCTTTGTGCTGCCTGCATTCATCATGGAATCCCAGAATCCCAGCGTGGCATGGTTGGAAGTCACCTCTGGAGATCATCTTGTCCAACCCCCCTGTTCCAGCAGGTCACTCACAGCAGGGTGCCCAGGATCACATCCAGGAGGGTTTGGAATCTCTCCAGAGAAGGAGACTCCACAACCTCTCTGGGCAGCCTGCTCCA